TCGCAATTATTATGAAAGCAAGAAGTCGAAATACACTTATAACAGTTAAAAATCCAAGTGAAGATCAATTCATAAACTTACCATATGATGCTCATTGTCCATGTTCTCGTATATCATTAACCTATGGTGAATTTATTTCAATTCAAACTCGATTTCATCAGATATGTTCAAGTGATTTTATCTCTGATCGATGGATTAAAACAATTAATTTTGGTTCAAATACAACGTATTTTTCCTCTTATGACTTTCGAACAGAAGGAAGTGCAGTATTCCAATCCCTTGAAAGTTTTTGTCGACTTTCAAAAGATTATGCTATTCAAAGTATTGATTCATTTAATAAAGATTTATTTATAAGTCAAGAAGTTTTAAAAGAATCTTTATTTCAATCACAAACAAATGTTATTATTCATCAATTTCAGTTATCATCACCTATTGAATTCACAACACAATTATCATTAATAAGAAAAATGATAGCCGGAAACCGTTTTCTATCTGCTCTTCAGACTAATTATATGCAATATTATGCAACTCTGTATGTCGACTTTGTTGAAATTACGGTACACAATCGAATTCTCATGAATCAAGAGAATTCCTTCTTTTGTTCTTGTCGGACCCATATTGATTGTTACATGCCATCAATGATATTTCATGAATTCAGACCTAATATTGAGTATTCTCCGCCTTATAATAGTATATTAATGGAAATTCCTGGAATGGTGCATGGCTGTTTACCAGTAAATACAATTCTTCTCTCAACATTAGAATGTTTTTACAATCAAACATGTTTAAATGATATTGTTTCATTCTTACATACGAATGAAACTTTCACAGCAATGTCACAATTGGAACAAAGTCGTTATGAGTTAAATTCAACAATACAAACTATTATTGATAATTTAATGATTGAAGAATGGGTGACCGATATTTCTTATAAAAAATATTATAAACAATGTGCTCCAATTTCATGTACTTATTTTAAGAATGAAAAATATGCTTGGAAATTTATACTAATACAATTAATTGGTTTATTAGGAAGCCTAACAATGATATGTAGTGTTATTATAGAAAATATAGTGAAATTCATTCGACGACTACCATCTCAAAATATAGAATCAATACCTTGTAAGTTTAGTTGTTTGTTTTGTTAAATAGAGTATGCTACCTACTTTCAATTCATGAAAATTTCTTTCTATGAACATGAACAGAGTAAGACAAAGTTTCTAAAGAAAGCAATCATACACAGAGTTGGAACCACACCGGTTGAATTGGTATTTGAACTGGTCGGTCTTCGCCGATTTTTACTAATTTGACGGAATGTCTAAACTTGCTCCGGTCCCCATCATGGTTAAGTCAAAAATGAATTTTTATAGTTTTCTAGTTGTATAATTTTTTCATAATAAAATATGCCCACAGCAAGTTCGGGTAGTCAAAACATCAGTTTCATTCTCTCTAATTTCTCTAAGAATTGTATTTTTTTTTTCATCAAACTTTATTTCCTTTCCTAGAAAGCACTACTAAAACGATCTAACTTCAGATAAGCATGTCAATCTATTTCATTAATATTTTACTGCAAAGCAGATTTGAGATTGAATCATCATATAAACAGAAATATTAGTTCTGTCTGTGAAACATTGTAGATAAGTAGTCGAGTGTCAGGTAAATAAATATCGTTTTTCACCATAGACAAATATCGCATATTGCTGTTTGAAAAATTTTCACATATACAAGGCCATAGTGTCAAACTTTTCGTTGAAAGATACCCAAAAACAGAAGAAAAAGTCTAAAAACTGGTGTTTTCTGCGGCGTCTTCTTTTCACCAATCATAAATTAACCAACATATCGATTACTCTCTGCCGGTGCTTACTGGAATGGAACATATTTTGGATTGACTGGACCAAGCTGGCTTGAAAATTCTAGACTGGTTCCAACTCTGATTATACATATCACTTTATTGTAGAGTTGAGAGATGGACGAATCATGTTGTTACACCATTTCATCCCTCAATAGTATAGTAGAGGTCTACTCAAAAGCCCCCGGTATGGTTGAATGGTTAAGATGTTTGACACATATTCACAAGATATCGTGTTCAAACCTCGACTCCATCAGTCATATAAAGACCTTGGACAAGTCACTAACGATTAATTTGTCTCGGACCATGCATCCGATAGCAAACTGACTACGTGGTTGACATACCCTGACAGTCATTACGACTAGTATGTGGTTAGTCAGCGTGTTGGGAAACTTAGGTAAGCGGGAAGAGCTTTGTGTCAGGCTGGTCTTCTAACCGGAGCTACATCTAGTAATAGATGTAGAAAGAACATCGTGTCTATCGAAACTGTTCTTAGACAGCACCCAATATTGTAAGGTAGCCGAAAGGCAGGGGTATTCTTCTTCTACTAAAAAGATTTTTTTTCCTACTGGATAATGTTAGTAGATTCTTCTGTTAAATATTTCAACTGACCGCATGAAAACAACTTGATTACACTGAAAACAGAAAAAAGCGTCAAATGAAACCTTTCGGGTTCCGTAGGATTTTACCATATATCATCACGTATCGTACAAGAAATCGAAATCTCTTGAAGGTTTCCTGAGCTTATAGCCTCTATACAATACTTGTTCTGAAGTTTCGAAATCAAAAAAGTTTCATGAAAGAAGTTCATTATTCAAAATCCTTATCGATCTGAATTTCTTTGTCGTTGTCCTACTTATCAAATACTTTAGAATGAACTTTAGACATTTTTCTAGTCTTTCTTGAGTTCTTATATTTCAATACCTGACTTCATCTGGAAAAGTAGAAAATGCTGTGATAATGCTGCAATAATCTTTAACGTTTTCTAGAGCCAAACACACAAACTAGAATCTCAACACATTAATTCATACCAATATTCTTAATCACCATTTTGATTAATTTTCTTATGTTTTTCTCAAAGTCTATTGTTTAAAATTATTCACGATCTAAAGTACTGATCCTTTTCCTATCCTAAACACGGTTTTTTAATCAAAATTTTTTCTCTTCGTATTATTATTAATATTTCATTATATTTTTATGGAGATCAAATTACTTTAAAACAATACGACAATTACTCACTGACAATTTCATTCAGTCAATGGCAGTGTAGACAGAAAAACACATACACATTTCGAATATTAACGATAGCTATCATCCGTCAAAATAGACTTAAGCCAATAGTAGTAATAGGTAAAGGGGACTGAGGAACATCGATGCACTCCGCAATAGGCATACATGAGTACCTATAAATACAGAACTTACAAATAGATACTTATAGTTTTACCTACGGCTGGAAGGAATTTGACATAGATATAACGCGTCACAAATACATCCAACAGATTAATAATAATTTTAATGGTTAGTAGTGATGTATAACGAATGAGACATAGTCTCATGATTCAACCCATAATATTAGAGATTAATGGCTCTAGGCATTAAGTCGTAATTTTAACTGCTATAAGATTTCGACATAAGAAATAGAGTATATCTAGCATGGTTAAGATACAAGTATAAGGCATGATAATAGTTTTAAGGATTAACGTATAGTTATACATCTTCATCTCTTGGATACTTCTGTCTTCAGAGTGAAGACAAGAAGAA